GAGAAAATGAACAAAGCCAAAGGTTAGTTCTTTGAAAAGGTAAATAAAATTCATAAGCCAGATATATTAAGAAACCACAAATTAAGAATGAGAAAGCAAGAATCACTTTAGGGTCTACAGAAGGTAAAATGATAATAAAAATATTATGGGCAATTTTATGTCAAAAATTCAATATAGACGAGATAACAAACTCCTTGAATAATTCAACTTAACTGAAAATGACACAAAATTAAATATATCTGAATAATCTTACATATTTAATACACTGAAATTTTTAAAAATCTTCCCACAATAAAACTCCTGGCCCAGATGGCTTCCCTAGTGAATTCTAACAAATATAAAGATGCTGTTTCAGAAGCAGAATAATTTCAACTTGTTTAACACCATAATTTGACAGACATTGCAAAGAAAAAAATCCATAGGTCAATATCCCTCACAAAGATATGTTCAAAAATACTTAACAAATAATAGCAAATCAAGGAAAGCAATATAAAACAGATACATCATGACCATGTAGAGTTTATCTCAAGAATTCAAGATTGGCTAAACATTTGAAAATATTAATATAACTCACTGTATGTACAGAACAAAGGAGAAAATCCACTTGTTTTTTAAATAGATACAGTATAAACTCTTGGCAAAATTTAGTGACCATTCATGATTTTTTAAAAAATCTAAGCAAACTAAGAATAGAAGAGAATTTCCTCTATCTACAAAATAACATATTTAATGGTCAAACTATTGAAAATTCCTCCCTAAAATCAGAAACAAGACAAGGATGCTTAGCCTCATCACTTCCTTTCAAATTATACTGGAAGTCCTGGCTATCGCAATAAGGCAAGAAAAATAATAGGCATCAAGTTTGAAAAAAGAGAAGTAAAACTGTGTCTAATTTGCAGATCATGTAACTGTTTATGTAGAAAGCCAAGAGGGATCCTCTCAGCAGCTACTATAACTAATAGGTGATATAACATGGTTTCAGGATATAAGGTGTGTCAATCAGGGTTCAATCAGAAAACAGAAACCACACAATAATTCGAAAAGGAAGAGTTTTAGATTGTTTTATATAAACAATCACTCAGTGGGGAATAGCTATGAAAGTATAAAGCGATCTCTAATCACCTGACCACCCTAGGACTGCAGGACAGTACCCAAGGAAGGGACACCTGGAAGGAAAACTCCCCTCCCAAGGCTGGGATTCAGACCCCTTTGCTGAAAATGTGGTTGCAGCCTTCTGGCTGGTGACGTTTGCTGGGTTGCCTGGACAGAGCTGATCCACAGTCGCTGGACATGCAGGTAACACTCCTGTAGGTGGCAGGTAAGCTGAAGTTGGTAGGGAGTCATACAGAGGGAATTGGGGTGTTAAATAATTGTAAAAGTTTAAAAACAATGAAAGAAATGGCTCCCAAGTAGCCCTGGTTCACACGACCTTGAGTGCCGGATGCTTCTTTCCCGACGGTGCCAGCTGAATTCCTGGGAGCTCTCTCACTACACGGCTTGGGGCGTGTGGCCCTTCCGCTAACAGAACAACATAGCTGGGGTGGGTCTAGCAATCTGAGCTTGAACCAGCCCCTCTGGTGGCTCTGATTCTCACTTGAGTTTGAGAATGGCTCCCCTTGAGTGACATTAAAGGCCTGCCTTATACCCAAGGTTTGGATAATTTTTCTTGATCCCCCAGAAAGGCTGGTCCAACTATGGTTTTGTAGTATTTGCCCAGATTCATTTACATCAGTGCAGGAAAAAGTGTTAATTAACACACAGAAGCCTCCTTGTGAAATTGTTGCAGTTTAGAGCCATACATTTTTGGCCAACTGCTAGAGCCAAAGAATTATCTTCTGTCTGGAAATTCGGTAAGAAATCTAGGGTTGTGCTTTCACACCGAGCAACTTTTCGCTAGTGCCGGACATGTTTACTTTGGAACCACCCTCCTTGAATTCGATGTCATTTGCACACACATACACACACACGGAGCAGTCTGCTTGTAAACATTTAACCACTGGCTCTCGGAATGCAGAGCCCTGATTTGTGGCATCTGCCAGTTTCCGTGGTGTGAATGATCCCACCGTGGCCGATTTTAAGCTATATGCATGAAATCACTGGATGTGGATTTGGAAGAGGTGCATGCAGTGACTCTCTGGGGCTGGTGTGAGCCTCTCTGGCGTCAGCGCCTCCCTTCCAGTGGTGGCCGGGTCCGGCCGGGCCGTCCCTCCGCTTCCGGGCAGCGCCTCTGCCTCCAGGGCCCCACCCGTGGAGGCCGTGGGAACAGCGCCGCCTCCTGACTTAACCCGGATGTGGGAGGGGCTGGGGGTAGACGCGCAGCTGCGCATGTCCTCCTGGAGCCAGCCTTCCCTGGCCTGGATTTCTTACTCTGCAGGGACCTGCCTGCTGCTGCTGGAACGAGGCCTCTGCCACCTGAGGACAAGATGGGACATGTTCAGAGTGGCACTGCCCTGCAGGTGGGTTGGCGTCCTGGGGTTCTGTTTGGAAACCAGGGATCCTTGAGGGTAGGTGCTGGGGGCTCGCCCTGCGGAAGATGACCAGGGGAAGCGGCAGCATCCGCGGCCAGCACCCAGCTCTGTGTGCCCCGATGCGGGGTCCTCCCAGGGGTCTTGTCTGGAGGACCAAGCAGGTAGGGGTGGGGGCTGGGGGCGGGGTGAGCGGCAGCTGCCTAAGGCAGGACAGCTGAGGATGGTGCGGATGGTTTGGCCTGCCAGATGGTCTCGCGCGCTCAGATTGCAGCCAGCTCTCAGACTTCTCCCGGGATGCACCCCAAGCCACGCTCAGAAATGCTGCTCAGAGGAGGGAAGGACACCAAGGTTAGGGCTAAACCACCCAGCAGCATTACCGGAAACTGTAGGCACTGTTCTCGGGGAGCCGTGGGGGAGCTTGAGAGGTGGACTGGGGGCAAAGCAGAGTCTAGGGAACACCGCAGTGCACCATGGGACTCACAGTCTGGGCTGAAAGGCGGGGGGGGGGTTGGGCAGCGTGTGGTTAGTAGCGCTTAGCTCGCCTCTGCTCCCTCATCTGCTCCTCACGCCACTGTCATGGGGCCACCCAGGCCCAGGTGGCCACCTGCAGCCCCAGGCTGGCAAGGTCACCAGGTTAGGAGTATGCATGCATGCGGCCTGGTGGCGTGGTCTCCAGCCATCCGCACGTGCCCCACGACGTGATCATTGTCCGGTGGGCAGAGATAGAGTGGCCAGAAACACAGGCACAGGGCCACAGCCCGGGATGAAGTCACTGGCTGGCTGTGTGACCTGGATGTGTCCCTTTAGGTCCCTGTGTTTCAGGTCCGAGGCAAGAGCCAGGCTGGGTGGGTACACAGCAGGTCGTCAGGGAACCGGCTCTGCAGCCTGTGGGCTGTGGGGGCCAGATGAGGCAGACGGGGCAGCCCTGGGTGGTCCCGGGGTGCAGAAGCCACAGGGAAGCAGATTTCAGGTGACCTATGGAAAGGTGTCCTTAATGGGCTGAATTGTGTTCCCCTAGTATTTGCGAGCATGACCTGATTTGGAAATAGGGTGACTGACTCTAAATGAGACCCCTGGGATGGATCCAGTGCAATACAACTGTGTTCTTATGAAAAAGGGAAATTTGGACACAGACACTCACACGGGGAGAAGGCCACGTAAGGTGGAGGCGGAGACGGGGTGGTGAGTCTCCAGGCCAGGGAATGGAAAACACTCATGGAGGGAAAATGATGAGGAAACACAGTGTGGAGACAGCCATCTTCGAGCCACAGTGTGCCTGAGGTTTACGGATGCTGGGAGAGAAGCCGGAAACAGATTCTCCCCCACAGCCTCAGGAGGATCCAGCCCTGCTGACACTTTAATCTCAAATTCCCTGCCTTTGTGAAGTGGACAAAACCATAAAAAGGTGACTCATAGTAAGTTATGAAAACCTAAAGGAATCGAATGGAGCAAGGAAGGAGAGGAAATGCTGTCTTGCTGAGAGTGCCTGGGACAGCTGCACTGAGGGGACTGTGGTCAAGTTCCCAAGCAAGTGGGGGAGCCAGCAGGGAAGACGGCTGGAGAAGAACATGCAAATGCAAGCACAGCCTGTGCAAAGGCCCTGTGGCAGGAGCAGGCCTCATGGGTTCCAGGAAGCACAAGGAGGCCACGTGGCTGGGAGAGAGCCATGAAAGTGAGAAGAGCAGGAAGGGAAGCTGAAGGGGCCAGATGTGCAGTGCCTATGGCCTTGAGGACTTCAGCTTTTGCTAAGCAGGAGTGACAGCAGGATTTTAACAGAGGGGCTATCACACTGCCCACATGAATGGGGCTGCCTATGTTCAGGCAGTGGTGGCAGTAATCCAGGTGAGATCATGGCTGAGATCAAGGTGATGTTGGTGTGGGTGGTGAGATACAGGCACATCCTGTGAATGGTCCGAGGATGCAGCTGACAGATTGCCGATGACCAGGCGGGAGGAGTGAAGGGTGACTGCAGAGGTGCTGGCCTGCGTATCAGGAAGGCTGACTCCCCCCGCAATGGGGAAGGTGCAGGAGGGGCTGCGGGAGACCAAGCCATCTGAGATACCTGCCGACATCAGTGGGGCTGGCCACGGGCAGCCGGATATACTCAGCGAGGGGGTCCCTGGCAGAGGTGCAGGGCTGGAGATGGAGGTTGAGGAGCCACCAGCACAGAGACAGAAAGCCCAGAGGCTGGACCAGGCCAGCAAGAATTCAGGAGAGAGAGGTGGGCCCCCCGGCACTCAGCGATTAGGCAGAAGAGAAACTGGAGGGGTCCATCTCCGTGACCCTGGGCCAGTTGGGGACAGGACGGTGCTGTGGCAGACCCCTGTGGCGGGGCTCCACTTTATAGTCTGTCCCATTCCCTGGCCACAGCTGACTGTCCAGCAGTGGGGGCCTCGCCCAGCTGGGCCGACCAGAGGCCTCTGTACGTCTGGAGCAGGGGTGCAGGGAGGCTGGCTTCCCAGTCTGGCTAAGCCCCGGGGCAGTTTTGGCTAACCTCGCTGCCAGGCTGCCTGGGAGGCAGAGAAGGCGAGGATGTTGATGCTGAGAGGGAGGGAGGGAGGGAGGGTGTGGACATGGCACCTGGCCTGAGTTTCTGTTACTTGTGACCATCAATCCTGGTCCTAACAGGTGCACATGCCACCTCCTAAGGGGACCAGTGCATGGAAGGCGCCTGAGAGCCTCCCCCACCTCCCTCCCTCTGTCAGGGTGGGGCGAGGGCAGAACGCTGATTTTCAGCCTCTCCGATTTCCACCTCCCTGCCCCATGTGCTCCCAGAGGTTTTTCCGACGAAGGCAAGGAAACAAACCGCAGGACTTTGAAATCATCCATCGAGTTTAATGCATCGTACAGAAGGGAAACTACATCAGCATATTTAAGACAAACACTTTTTCTCTATCCTCACTATCCATTGGACGGTCCTCCTCGGTCCAAAAAACTAAGTCTCAAGACACATCGGCAGCTACCCCTCCTGGGTCCAACCTTTCATATCCTCCCAGTACATTTTTAAAAAATTTAATTCACTCCATCCAAGAAGAAAAACAAACCAACAGAAAAGGAACCTGAAGACATTTACATTGCAAGCCACGCAGTAATGCATAATTGGCATCTCGAGTAACCAATATATAAGACATGTGTCTCACAGTTCGCTTTGTTCATCAATAAAAGAATATAAAAATCTTGTTCAACCCAGTGTTGAGTGTATTAAAATAGATCTGTATCGTACAGCACAGTTTCTCCCGGAGTCGTGAAAATGACAGGAGGGACCATGGCAGTCTGTGGGATTCCGGCCAGCCTCCTTGCTCTGCACCTGGCAGCGTGTGTGCGTGCGTGTCGGGGGCCACGTATGCACACGCACACGTGTGTTCAGCGCAATGTGGCACCGTGTGATATGCTGGGGGTGGGAGCCCTGTGGCTCCCAGATGCTCATCCTGTTGTGCTAAGTCCCTGGGGACTGGAGAAGCTGAGGGTGTGACGAGCCCGCAGCTTGTAAGCTGGCGGGCACCCTCGGCTCTCGGGGGGGGGGGGAGACGGCAGGAAAAGGGCCTCTCCGGTCTCCCAAGGCCACCCCTCCCTTCTCCCCAGCCCTCACCCCACTTCTTCAAACCCCTCTGGATCCGTCCAGTTTGGCAGCACCCCGCCCCCGAGGGGTTTCCCGTTGGTCCCTGGCAGCAGAGACCACTGGGAGCAGAAAAAGAAGGTAGCAAGTGTCCCCTTCACATTAACTATCTCACGATAAAAACACCATACAAAAATGTAAAGTTTCTTTTTGGCATAGTGTCTGTACTGGCAAGACAAGAGGAGTGGGAGACTTTATCGGCTCTTCGAAGGGAGAAGACAAAAGGCTTCGGTCGGAAGTTGAACGATTCAACCCAAAATAGAAAACCCACCAAACGCCTCCACGGCACGGCTGCAGCTCCCTCTTGCCCCAAAACTCCATGAGAAAAAGACAGCGAGAGCAGAACAGGTCCCAGAGTCAGCAGAGGAAGGAGGCGGGCAGCCAGGGCTCTCAAGACGCGGCGGCGGAGCCTGGCATCCCCCCAGGCGCCTCCTTCACGTTAAACAGCTGCGGGTCGGAACGGCAACACTGACAGCGGGGCAGGGGCGTCTGGGAGGCGGGGGCCGGGCCTGGCTCGCGCCCAGCGGGCCCCGTGAGGGAGGGCGGCGGCTTCTACCTAGATCTGCTACCCACTCTCGCCCCAGCTACCTCTACTGCTCAGCTACGTTGTGCCCCAGCTCCCCGCCCGCAGGACCCCCGGGCCTTCCTCCTGGGGCCTGGGCTGCACAGTCCTCCTGGCCCCTCCGGGGCCTCAGCCCTCTTTCTCCTGCGGGGGTGGCACAAGGCCGAGGAGACACCTGTGCCCAGAAGCCGGAGGCCTTGGCAGCCCCCCAATAGCCAGGAGCTAACTGTATGCCCCCACCTGGCTCCTGGGCGTCCCGTCTGAACGTGATGGGTGTCGGACTCCATCCCCACCCGTCCAGGCTCTAGGCTTCTCATCCAGCTCCTTCTCCCTTCGCTCCTCTGTCTCTGTCTGGTTTTATTTTTGTCTGCAATTCATAGTGTTTATGAATTAAGGCTGACAGAACCCTCAGGTCTTGTGAGCAAGGTCCCAGTGACTTTCCGTGGGTGTGAAGATGGGTCCCTTGGGGTCAGTTGTGCCCCTGGGGATGCTGGAGGGCAGAGTGCATGGCGGCTGCTGAGGGCTTGGTCCAGGGCCCAGCCAGCAGTGGGGCGGGGCTGGTGGTTGTCATGGTGACCTGGAGCATCTGCTCGCCCTGTATCAGTCTCAGGAGGGCCCGCAGGCGGTCCAAGGATGACTGGGTGCCCCTCTGCCGGGCCAGCAGGCTCGTCTTCAGCTCCAGGCATTTCTGTCGGGGGCAAGGAGTCAGAGAGTAGGGTCTCAGAATTCAGCTAGGCAGGTGTCCTGCGACAGCCACCCCTCAGCCCCTTCTCCCAAAGCCCCTCCCTTCTATTGCAGAGGCCTTCAGGAAACCATGAAGAGGGCCTCACATACACCAGGCAGCAGCAAAAGTGGAATTAAACAGCAGCCAGACCCACAGGAGATACTTGTTTTACAGTCGAGGGCTGGAGATGGTGTGCGTGTGTGGGAATGTGGGAAAGTTCTCCCTCGTGCTTGTGACACTGCCGAGCAGACCCCATCTCTCTCTCCTCCTGCTGGAGGAAGCTCACAGCCTGTTTGGGCTCAGCAGCAGCAGCTGTGGAAGACCTTCCGATCCCTGGCCGGCTTCCCACTCTGTCTCCTGCCTGCTGTGTTCGTGGCTTTTGCTAGCTTTTGTATATATCATGGTGGCACAGGAAAGTGGTAAGGGCCGATGCCTCAAGTGAGAGTTTCACTCATCTGCTGCTTGGACAGGTAACTGAAACTCCCTGAGACCGTGTCCAAACCACTGAGAGAGGAATAATCATGTTATTGAGAGGATTAAATGAGATACTGCATTTAAAGGGTTTTACCAGGACCTGACACTGCTGTTGGCAATATCACCACCACCACCATCATCATCACCACCATCAACATCACCACCATCACCACCATCATCATCCTCATCACAACCATCGTCACCATCACCATCATCATGCACACCTTTATCACCACCACCATCATAACCATCACCACCTCCATCACCATCACCACCACCATCACCATCACCACCATCATCAATATCATCACCATCATCAATGTCATCACCACCATCAGTATCATCGTCACCATCAGTATCATCACCATCATCACCACCATCACGATCACGTCGCCATCATTAACATAATCATCAAAATCACCACCGTCACCACCACCACCCTCATCTTGCTGATCACCACTCTGCAGAGGAGAAATCATCGCGTTCACTTTATACAAGAAGCTGAGGTTCAGAAGCAGTCAGGGCCTTGCTGAGGTCCCAGAGCTGAGAAGGAGCAGAGCCAGATGCTCAGCTGCTTGATAACTATTTGTGGAACGAGTCACAGAGCTGCCTTCTGCACTTGCTGACTGGCTGAGTGATGCTGGCGAGTCTGTTTTCTCCTGGGGCCTCGGTAAGCGGACAGTGAAGCTTTGGATCTAGGTCTCGTGGTTCTGAAGGCAGATCCCCCACCACCCACACCACACACCTTCACCGCTGAGGCCAGGCGCCGGTCCCGCTCCTCCAGCTGCTGGTGCTCACTCTGCAGCTCACTGCCCCTCTGCAGCAGCTTCTGCTTCTCCTCTTCCTTGACTGGGGAAGAGAAGGCCATGCCCCCCCAGGAGCGGCAGGTAAGCAGGGGCTGGGCTGTGGTTGAGCAGGAGAAGCAGAGAGAATCCTAGGCCCCCGCCTATAGACCATTCTGGCTACGGCCTCCTGCAGGAGCCAGCGGCTCTTGCCGGATGAACAGGGACTGGAATTCCAACCCCGCAGCAACCGCCCTGCACACAGGACTAGTCCCAGGGTCCCCCTTTTCAGAGCTTTGGCTCAGAACAGCCTCCGATGGGCCCCGGGTGAGCCGAGAGGCCTGGGGGCAGGTGGGACAGAGGGGAGTCAGTGCCCCCTCCCACTTCCCAAGGCTGTCTTACCTGTCTTGTGGGTCACGTAGGAGTGCACGATGGCCAGCATCCCGGTCCAGGGCACACCTTCGTCTTTCTTTAAGGCCTGGAGGGCAGATGGGGAGCTGAACAAGTGGACAGCCTGGGGCCCGCCCCACCCTGGCTCGCCCTCGGGGAGGCACGAGCTCTTTGGGCTGTAGGTTCTGGTGTGATCTGGGGTTGGGGCTGCACCTGCCTCCTGGTCTGTCTCACAGAGGCCTCTCAACAGGATTCGCTCCCAGAGGCAGGAACCTGCTTATCGCCAGGTCCCCACGTGGTGCCCGGTGGGAAGCAGGCGCAAGTTCTTCTTAAATGAACGAATGATCATGTGTCTTCTTCCCACGTCCCAGGGACTTCAGAGCAGTCCCGGGCAAGCCAGCGACAAACTGGGGACTGCATCCCCTCAAAGAGTTGTGACCGCCCCCCCTCCCCCGGCTGAGGCAGTCACAATACAGGGCTGGTGGCCTCCGGGAGCAGCCCCACAGGGGCACACAGCCGACTGCACCCACCGTCTCCCTCGGTCTCTACAAAACCCAGGATGATGGGAACTCACAAGCGTTAGTATTTTTTTTTGAAATAAACGTGATTCCCCAATGATTTTTACAAGTAATACATTCTGTAGAAAAGCACACTTTTTAAAAAGCATTAAACAAACAAAACACTGATACTTCCCCTCACCCAGCCACGCACAGTATTAACACTTGGAAATATTTTCTCCCAGGTTTTTTATTCTGCATAGTTTTTTCTCAGATAGCTGATGAACTACACAGCAGCTATAAAACCTGGTTTTGATTTTATTTTTTAAAGACATGATCTCACATAGAGAACAACTCCAAAAGAACCACAAAATCCTTGTAAAAAATCCAGTGATCACATATCTCAGAGAGTAAAGAGCTAGAACCTATTTTACCAACTCCTTGTGGGGAAGCTGGTCTGTTTCCAGCTTTTCCCTTTAATAAAGAAAGGCTGAGGGGCTTCTCTGTGCACAGAACTTTGCCTATATTGCCTAGACTCCATTCCCCAAAGCAAGACTCTGGGTTTAAAAAGTGTACAATTTTTAAGGCAGTGCTTGAGAGTGCCTGCTTCACTGCATCACCACCAGAAGGGAGTGTTACTGCTTTTTGCTGATTTGATAGCTTTTCATTTGTGGGTTGTTATCCGTGAGATCAAATGTGTCAACTGGCACTAGTTTTGCAGTTTGTGTTGCTAGGCTGGTTCTACCCAGGGGAATCTGGAGTCACTGAAAGTCAGATAGCTGCAGAGGGACACCTGTGCTCACTCTGCACCAGTGGTCCTCCCCAGCGATGTCTGAGATGGCCATGATGGGGGATGCTATTGGCATCCAGTGGGTGGAGGCCAGGGACGCTGCTGAGCAGACTACAGTGCACAGGGCAGCCCTCCACAATGGATCATCCAGTCCCAAACGTGGGCTGTGGGAAGGCCTGTTCTTCCCCAGCCCCTCTTCTCCCTCCTCCTCAGCCCTCCCCGTCTCTGCTCATGGCTGAGGCAACCCAAGAAGTGCAGACGGCCTGAGCAGCCTCAGATGCTGTGCCGGGCGAGGGCCCTGGCGGTACAGGGACAGGGTGAGGGCGACAGCTTCCCGTACCTTCTGCTGACACTTGGGACACACCCACACGCCCTTGGGCGCTGACTTGAGGGGCGGGTCCAGGCAGCTGAGGTGGTAGGCCCCCGGGCAGGCGCCGCAGGGCTGCAGGTCGGCCCCTCGCCCGCAGGCAGCACAGCGCTCATCGTGGGCGATCTCGTTCTGCAAGAGAGGGGAGGGTGGAGGCGGGTCAGCCGGGCTGGGGTTGGGGGGGCGGGGGCCCAGGCAGCTGCCACCCCGACCTGCTGGGGACCCTCTCCTCCGCCAGTGTTTCTCAGCAGCCCTGGGAGAGAGGAATAAAGAAATAAAGGAATAAACCCAGGCGGGGGGCGGTGATGACAGTGTGGGGACAGGCCTGGAAACTAGGAGGAGGAGCAGCATCCGGGTCTCTTGCCTCAAAGCCAGGGCCCTTCTAGGACTGTGGGCTCTGCAGAGCAGGACTCGGGCTCCAGGCATCCCCTGTCCCCGTGGCCGGGCTGGCTGCGTCAGGGTGGCTGTGGACAAAAGCTGCCCCAGCAGCCCCGACCTGTGACACTGCAGGGTTATTACTGCCAGCAGCTCAGCCTAATGGGAGTTTCAGCACCTGTTGCTCTTTGGTGGCTTGACCTTCACTGGCGTGGAGGGCCTGGGAATTTCTCTTAGAATTAGATCTGCAACTTTGCAAAAAAAAAAACTGAAACAGTGAATAAACTCTGAAGCCATGCCCACAAATGAGGTCAGGACCAGCCAACCCTGGGAAGCCGGGTCATGGTGCGTGCATGGGGGGCTGGGCTCTCGCATGATCGCAAAATCTGGGTGTGTGGGGTGGGACCCTGAGACCCAAGCCCAGTCCCTCACCAGGTGGGGAATGAGGACCAGAGAGGGCCGGCTCTGCCTGGGGTCACACAGCGAGGCCAGACAGAGCCCGCTGGCGCCCAGCATCAGCTGCTTCCATCCAGGGCCCCTGAGGCCTCAGTACTGAGCAGGGCCCCTGCTTGCGCCTGTGGGCTGGGCCCTGTGGTGGTGCCGATCGCCAGGCAGGCTGGAAAGTGGACTGGTGGTATACGAAGCTCTCGGCACCGAGGACAGAACCTGAGGCCCTGAGCTCCACTCCAGGGCAGCAGGAGTGACACTAACCTGGACCGTACGGAAGGCGTGCCCCACCCCACCCAGCTGCGGAGACCAGGGTACACGTACCTTCCAGCAGGGGTCCTCATTGGCTAGCACAGGGAAGAAGGGCGGAGAGCACGTTAGTGGGCACGGGAGGAGCACTGATCAGGACTGGAGTCCGCGGTCCAGCGTGAAAGGGGCTCTCACCCAGGGCATGATGGGAGTATCACAGGCCCCCCGGGGACGCCTGGGTTCTCACCCAGGGCTCATGGGAGTAAAGGTCTCTGCCCTGGCCTTGGTCAGGACCCGCCAAGGGAGAGGTGCACCGTGGCCCCGAGCTCCCTGAAGAACACGGCAGCAGCGAGCTGTCCTGTCCAGTGGGGGGACATCACTCCAGGGATCCCTCAGAGTGACTTACTGTCAACTCGTTTTGGGCCGTCACTCACTTCCGTTCTAGTAAGTGACGCCAAACCACGTTTTAATGATCACAAAACACAGTTTTCCAGGAGGAGGGTATGGCTCACGTGGTAGAGCGCGTGCTCAGCATACACAAAGTCCTGGGTTCAATCCCCAGCACTTCCTCTAAACCCAGCACCTCCTCTGAAAATAAGTAAGTAAACCTAATAACCTACCCCCCCCAATTTTTTTTATTTTAAAATTTTTAAAAAAATTAAAAAGTAGTTTTCCTTTCAGTTTCTGGAAATCATACCATCCAGTGGGAAGAATGGCTCCCGTGCATTCACAGCGCTCGACAGTTTACAAAGCGCTGTCACGCTCACCGCTCGTGTCACTGTCCCAGCTCAGAGAGGCAGTTACTGTTAGGGGCCCATTTTCTACAGATCAGTAAACCAGGGCCCAGGGCGGTAATGTGGCGTGTTGAAAGCCGCCAAGAGTCCCAGGAAGCAGGCGGTCATCTTCTGCCCTTAGGACTCCTTGTTTCTTTGGCACCATGTGGCCTGGTTCTCTGCTCAAGGCCACACTCAGGGGTGGGACAGAGGGCAGCCCGGAGCCCCGGGTTCTGGGCCTTGTGCGCGGCCCCGGCCCACACGCCTGCTCAGGGAGGTCACAGCACGGGGGCCTGTGCCTGGAACGCGCCGCCCGCCAGGAGCAAGTAAGTGGCCGCCGCCGTGGACGAGGCAGGCTGGGCGGTCAGGCCCGCTGCCGCGGAGGGAGGTGGC